CACTGAGCTAAATCCCCAGCCCCTGATGCCTTCAGTACAGCATCCTATTTACTTTTCATGGCTCACCCCCTCCAAATTGCAATAGGTCTGGATTCCTGTTCTATAGATACCGAGCTGACTTTAATGTACAACCAGGGTTAAGACTTTCTCAGGTATTATCCAATGAACAGGTGCAACTGCATGCAGACCACTCCACTGTGCCAAGCTGAAGAGCCAAGTGAGGCCTTGGCACTTGTCCCTGAGTAGGACAGCAGCCACCCTGGAGCCGACGGTGTGATGTCAGCTCTCTGAACCACCTGCAGCTCAGGAACCACAGATGGGGACATTCACTTCCAGGGAGATAGTGCCTTGAAGAGTCCTGGAACACTTCTGCTGAAAAGCAGTGGTACCAAAGAGGTACAATAAAGCTCCATGAACAACGACATGAGCTCCCATGAAGCCTGGGGAGGAGCAGCCACCAGTCTATGGCCCATTTTTCTAGATTAGGCAATTTTGAAATGTCATCTCCTCTGTAAGCTTTACCTATCTCCTTTCCCTCTGGTCTTTTGAGCCTTACTGTTCATGCCCACTTAGTGTAGCTCTTACGCTGACAGATGGCAGTTAAGTGTGCCTCCTCTAGCAGACTTGCCTCTTGGAGGGCAGCCACTTGCCTTGCCACTGGGACTTCAGAGGGAAGTATAGTGTCCAGCACATAGTAGGTGTTCAGTATGTTTGAATAACTCAATAAGCCATCATCCAAATCTAATCCTCAGCCGTCCAAAGAAATAGATCACTGCTGTCTGCTGCTACTTAAACTCCAAACCTTGCACACAGCCCTCTCTTAATGAGTTCTGTTCTGGAAGAATATTCAGAAGTCAGATTCCTTCAGAAGCTTAACAGATGAAGCAAACATCTTTTTTTTTTTTTTTTTTTCTGATACTGGGAATTGATTTTTTGTTTTGTTTTGTTTTTGTTTTTGTTTTTTTTTCCAGTACCGGGAATCAAACTCATGACCTTGCACTTGCCAGGAAGGTGCTGTGCCACTGAGCTAAATTCCTAGCCCCTAGTCAAATATCTTTGACACAAATATATGATGTACATTGCTTTGTGCTTCCTGGCAGTGCCCTCCCCTTCACCAGTGCTCTTCCCCTTGCTTCCGGACATCCTGGGCTCTGACTGAGCACTGCACTACCCTACTGTATCGCTCTGTGCATCTACAAATGTTCCTAATGTGAGGCTCATTCATATCTGTGAAAGTTCGTAACACAGATGGTCATAAATTGGGAACTTACTGTAAATATGAAATAAAGTGACCACATTTTCTCCATCATGATAAAGTTATCCACACTTTTTGGTTTGTGAGGCTTCAGACTATAAATCATTGAGCTCTGAAATGAAAGCTCCATAAATAAATCGGTTCCAGTGGGTTAGTCATACAATGTATGGTATATTTTCCAGTCAAAGCCATAGTTCTAATGAGCCATTGCAGTGATGAATGGGCTATCTTGTAATTTTGTCCTGAATGTGATGAGTGGTAGTAGCTGGAGTTTGAGTATCTTATTCTCCTAGTAGAGGCCAAACCTTTGCCTGTGCTGAGCCAGGTATGGCTTGGGAGTTTTTATTTAACAACAAGTTAAGCCTGAGGTCATGCTTCAGACTGGTCTGATTGAGTGCTACAGCAAGATGGGAATTTCTACATTTCCTTCTGGAAAGCAAAATGCAGATAAGCGTGTCCGTGGTTATTCATTTATCTTTTTTTTTCTTTTTCTTCCAAAACCATCTCAGCAGTTTTTTGTTGAGCTGATTTATGACATTAGTCCTAAGCTGGAGATTACAAAGTGCTATATTTGAGATGATAATCTGAAGTTTGGAGAGTGAACAATCCATTATAGCTATTTATGCTTACAGTATCACAATAGGATTCTTATTTCTACATAGGCTTTTAAGGAACAAGTTTAGGGGGGAGAGAAGATGTTTTAAATGGGCTGATGGTATTTTAGGTCTTAACAGGCTCTATTTACCCACTGCCTGCCATGCCCTGCAGAACTTGGCAGGTCACATTCTCTTGATACCTCATACTTAGATAGACAGTGAAAGATCATTCCAAATATACTCCCCTCCATGCTGGCAAGAACTTTGCTGCCAATATTAATTCACTTGAAACAGCATGTTTTTTTTTTTTTTTTTTTTTGGTCTTCTTGAGACAGGGTTTCACTATTCAGTTCAGGCCGGCCTTGAACTCACAGCAGTGTTCCTGCCTCAGCCTCCCGAGTGCTGAGATTACAGGTGTGTGCCACCATGCCCTATGAAGCCTAGCTTTTAAAATGTCATCTAGACCTAAATTGTTAATGTGTTCCTTTGGTCTTCTCACCCAAGGGCCAGTCCTCAGTCAACTGCAGAGCGATCAGCAGTCACTAGTCATATTGCGAGTTTTAACTGTGGCCAAACTGTAAATGGGGTATCAAGAGATAGAGTATCATTCAGTAACCACAGCATTTAGATACACCCAATCTTTGGTCTACAGGTTGGATACCCCTGATCTGGCTGGGACACATATGAACGTATATAGTTAATGTGTAGAAGTAAAAATATTCCTTTTTAAAAAATGTGTATTATAATACAGGTGTGTCTAATCCATTGTCTGTAGATTGGAGACTCCTGGAGTCCAAAAGGTGTCTCAGGACTGTGCAGCCCCATACCTTGATATCACAGGTAAGGTGCAAGAGGCTTAGACAGATGACAGGAGGTGACGAATTTCCCATAGCTGGTTAGGAACAGAAATAAGGCCAGGCTGGGTCTCTAAGCTGTGAGCCAGTCTATTTGCTTTCCTCTGTGGAGTCTTTACTATAAGTATATATTATATCATAAAGTGAAACATATCACTCATGAGTAATAATGCTCTTAATTAAAATACAAAGAATATATTTCAATAATCAGGTGACCAAAAGCAGTGATCTTCCAACTGCAATATGCATTTAAGTCACCCGGACAGCTTGTTGACACAGATTGCTGGGCCCTCTCTGTGTTGGTCAGGGATGGAGCCTGCTGATTTGCATTTCAAGTTACCGAGGGATGCATATGCACCTGGGGTTGGTCTGGGGACTGCACTTGGGGAGCGCTGGTCTGCAGCGAGCCCACGCTGTCCCCTGCCATCTGTCACTGGTTACCTGTGCACTGTCTCCCATTGAGAGTTCCATGGTGAGTGCCTGTGAGGTGAATTCCTTTGAACTCCCCTGTGCATTTCCTACTGGAGCTCTTTCTTCCCTAGCACAGGGCAGAGTTCTGCTTCTCTGTGCTCTGATACGCTGCCTGAGCTTGAGGAAGGCTTCAAATCTTCTCATCTTTGGAATGGGGGATCATATCTTGTAACTCATAATTGTGGAAGGATGAAATCAGATAAAGCATACCAAGTGCCATAGGGAAAATTACCTGGTGTGTCAACAAGAGGCCAGTCAGGAAAAGCGTTTACCACCACGTGTCACATAATGATGTTTCCACTGAGGGCCACATATACAACAGTGGTCCCATAACATGATGATGGAGATGAAAAGCTCTCTCTAGTGACATCAAGCCCTACACAGCATGCACATGATTCTGGTAATGCTGGTGTGAACACACCTACTGCACTGCCAGTTGTATAAAAATATAGCACACTGAATTATGTACCCTAGATCATACTTCATACTGATAATGACTTACTGGGTTATATACAGTACTATTTTATAGTTATCTTAACAGTATATTTCTACATATTAAAAAAGTTGACTGCAAAACAGTAAGTCATGTCACAGCAGTGGCTCCATACGCCCCATGTATTCCTGGGTCTCTCTTGTGCTTGATTTAACTGTATGTTCTTTTGCTCATCATATTCCCTTGGCAAAGGCTACTCCACACACACATGGCCTGTAGCCTGCCTGTGTAACAGTCCATGCTATCTAGGTTTGTGTACATACACTCTGCCACACTGATACAACAGAATCAGATGACACATCTCAGGATACAGCCTCCTCATAAAGTAGTGCATGACTCTTACAGAGACAATGAAGGAAAATTAGTAACTCAAGTGATGGAAGGGCTTGGGAACCAAAAAAGGGTGCAGAGGCAAATCGGAGGCTCAGCGAGACCATACGTCTGCAGCCACCCTCTGGGGTAGACAGGCAGTCAGTATTGCCCAGGCCCTGACTAGGAGCTAGTGTGTGGGGGTACTCACCTGGAAGAGTGTGGAAGTTGGTGCAGTCATGGAGGAACCTAGAAGTCCGAGGATAAAGATCTGGGGAGTGTTGATCTGTGATTCCACATGGAGCAGGGAAAGGCAGGCAATGAATTCCAGCACTACAGTGGTGTGCAAGGAGTTCCAGTCATCGTTGCCATGGCAGTAAATATCTCTATTCTGAGACCCTGCACTTTCCACGTAGGGCCCAACCTGTGCCTAAGCGTAAAGGTGGGGGCTATATAAACACACAGGCTGGCATGCTAGACATTCAGTCAGCCGTACAAATCAGTGGCAGAGTTATTTCACAGTAAGTGTTGTTTCTTCATTAGGTAAGTGTCTAACTTGCACTGGGGGTGTAGCTCAGCTCCACACACAGCCGCACGTCACACCACTGCACACTGTCCTTGCACTTTGTGCAAAATACAAAGATGGTATGAGAGACAAATTAGAGACCATCAACAACCCTGGTTGTTATAGACTGTCAACTCACATTTGGGGGATGGGTGGTAGAAAGGAAGGAGAGAGGGACAATGCAGTCTTGCTTTTCTACAGCAAGACCATGCCTTGAAGTGGTATCAGCTGGGAGCACTTCTTTTTCAACCTAAGGGTATAGTGAAATGATACAAGTGGCCCTGGGCACATTTGTGGGACCCCTGTCCACTGTCATCATGTTATAAAACTGAGATGTGGTAACAGAATGAAAGGGGGTAGGTGCGCATTGACAGAAACAAAAACGAGCTTTATAAACCAAGAGTGAGTGAGCTGTTCAGAAATAGTTCTTGGGTATCAGTGAAATTTCAAATCCAAATTTCAGTTTCAAAACAATCTTTATTCTGTATGAAGACCTAATACAATGCATTAAAGCAATTTAAAACAAGACATAGCTCCATTGATCTATAACTTGAACGAAACATCAAGGAGGCACACCCCCCACCCCCCACCCCAGTTACCTTGTAAAGGCAAAATTACACCTGACCATGACATCCTCCCTCTCGTCAAAAGACCAACTTTATTTTAACAATGTCATATAAACAGATTTGTAAAAACATTGAACAGATCATAGCTTTAAAAAATACACATGTATAAATGAGTTTTTTTCTATTTGTTTTCCTTTTTTTTTTTTCTTTTTTAAATAGCAGCATCCTGGGCAGCTAATGCTATCTCACGGTGACAAGTTCAATGTTAAGTTGGATGGTCCTTCCAAGTACCCAATTCTGTTCCCTCCCCACCCAACATTCTAGCATTTTATATAACTTGATTTTTTAAAAAGAAGAATTTGGCATTTTGGAACTTTGTCCCATGTGAGGCATTATGCTTGAAACTGCCCCTTCCTTAAATTGACCCTAAACTCAAAGACAGCAGGGTCTGCTTTCCAACTGACTTGGATACCATGCATAGCAAAAGCACAGTTGTTAAACCAGCAGAATTTTTCTCCCAGTAAGGAACATCAGTAGAACTTCCCAACACGTTACTAGTTCATAACCAGCTATATGACAAAGCAATTGGGTCCCCACGGTGACAGCTCACAAACATTTGGACTTGACACACTAATAAAGACTTCCAGGAGAAGGAGTCATCCAGACCTGTTCCCTAAAAGGAGTAACTTCTAAAAACAGAAAGTCAAAGAATGATGAACTTTGCACTTCACTTGCGAACAATTTTCACCTTACTGAGACAAAACAAAGCAACCTCAAAGGAAGAAGCAACCCATACACGTATACAGTAACTGTATTAGACATCTGCTTGGTATGTACTTGAACTCACTGACTGCGAATCTGTTTTGGCTGAAAGGTGTACCGGAAACGTAGTCCATGCACATATACATATATACATATATCTAGGGCGGTGACATCATCATGTTGCAAACACATTGTTTTCGTCTTTTTACGCAGTTGTGATCACTCTGGTTTGGACCATGAGGTCCTAACGCTCCCCTTCTACAGCCCTATCACAGCCTCTCTGCAGCTGGCTTCTGGCTTTGTCTTTAGGGTGCTACACTGGGTGAGAAAAACTGATGCATGGATAAAGCGTGTATCAGGAGTCCCTCTGCTGCATCCATTCAGAGTCACAAGCCTCTCAGAGGAAGTTAGACCATGACTGACTGGACCCACAGAGCCCTGACGGCCAAAGAGCTGGAAGGGCAACAGTGGCAGGCATGCTACACGGCCATCAAAGATCCTCTCGGCAGGATAGGTGTGATGTAACTAGCTGTCGAATGGAACAATAAATTCTTCCTTTTGTTCACTGAAAGATCTATTGCACTTATGCTTGTGAGATGCAAAAGCGAGGTGACCGCCTCATGGCAAGTCATCTAGCAGAGTGTTGAAGCAAAAACTGTAACAAAATTGTAGTTTTCAGTGAGACATTCAATCTCAGATCTAGCTTAGAAATTAAATGAAAATTATCTGTATTGTAAAGCATACACAATGTGCTACCAAAAACCACCCCTCCCCCCAAGACAAACACACAAACCTAGTTTATAAACCACTGTTAGACTTCTGTGTGCTGTGGCAAGATCTCACCAGCAGTTTTAAAGCACAGACACAGGCTAAAAGGAAGGAAAACACTACCTGTCTGGAGATGAGACGGGGATGGTCAGGTCAGAAGTCAAGTCTGAGGTCCGACAGTCTGGCTGAAGACTGTCTTTATGTAAAGAAAAGTAATACATTCTGCAGACCATAACTCAGCCACTAAGGCTGATTCTTCCAAGAGTTTTAAAGAACACCAAAAAGACAAAACAAGTTCTCCTGTGTATTGGAAGGGAAGAGAAAGCTGTGAGTGAAATTAGTATGGAGAAAGGGACACGAAAACAGTGAGGTCCCACTGCCATCTGCCAGGGCAGTGATGATGATTATAACAGCCTCTCCCGCTCCCAACACATGAACAGTTTCTGCAACGTCCTCCAACACAACAGCTTTTGCATATGCAAATTTGTGAGGGAGAACTCTCACTGCCACCCTAAGTTGGAAGGACGACACCTCCACCCCTTGCCTTTCCCCAGAGTGAAGCAGAACACACAATTACTTGGGTGAACGAGAAGGTTCCTCCTTTGGAGTCCTCCAATGGCCATGGCTTGAACAAGCTCCACACAGCCCACAGCGGTAGCCACGTGCTGTGTCTCCTTGCTATGTGTTCTAAATTGAGTGAAAAGCTAGGAAAATAACAAACACCCAGCTAAAAATATTTTTTTCAGATCGTGTTTTTTTTTTTTCTTCTAAAATGAATGTTAGTTGGTTGTCGTGACTACTTTCATGTTAGAAAGAGAAACAACACATGTTCTAAAATGCAGAGATTATACCTTGAAACCAGTGTCCTAAACAAAGGGGAACGCTGTTCCAGGAATCCAAAGACAGACTCTGAGCTCTTCCTTCCTAGGAACAAAAAAAAAAAACCAGGCCAGCTGCACTGGGTTAAGAATTACAGTAGGTTTGTAACTGTCACTACTTGACACCAACTAGCAAGTCAAAGTGGGAAAAGACTGAAATATAAGCAATTTCACGTTGCAGTTATTCACTTCTCTGTAGTTATGAGAAAGTGCCTCACCATCCCCTCCCACACCCCACCTGGTACAACATCCCCGCTCCCTAGATTCAAGAAGTTCACAATTCATTAGAAAACAACATTGCCAGGTACCGTATTTTAAGAGTCTTAAAACAACATTGTTGGACTCAGCGATACTTTGTCATAGTCATACATCTTTCTCTTTTTTTATTGAATAAAGCAGCTTTGAAGCTTATCAGGCACTGCCCAACAAAACATTTAGTCCAAAAAAAAAAAAAAATCTGTTATGAACTTTTTAACCTTGGGCTAACAGCCAAGTACTCTGTACAAGAAAAACTGTAAAATATTTCATAGTTTTAAATCTGAAGCCTTTTTTACTGGCATTCTGTACATTTCTTTTAAAAAAAAAGTAACAAAACAAATATTAACAAAAATCAGGGACAACAATATTTTCAAGCAACAAAAACTGGGGTGGGGGAAGCTTATTCTGAAAGTACATTTTAAAGTGATAACAACTTAATGAAAATTAAGAATTGCATAGCGCTGTGCATTTAGCCTTCAGCAAAACAAAACAGAAGCTATTTGGTATTGATACAAATCCATCTACTTGAAGTTAGTCACCCAATATTATGTACATATTTTATATACTGAATGTCACTTAAAGTCCTGTTTTCCGAGCTCCGTTTTTCTGTTGGTGGGTTGTTTTCTGTTTTGACAAGTTTAAACACTTTCTGGCACTTTGCTACAATAGCTTTTCCTCTGAATGTACGTGAACCGATGTCCTCCCGAAGAGTCCCTCGTGAGCGGAAGTGCCTTTCTGCTACATTTCATTCACTTGTTAGACAATGAAATAATCCACAGTGCGACGCGTCTGGGCTCACCGTGCACAGCGACAGCTGGCTACACCGGGCTGGACCCAGCACCCTCAGGCATGGGCTCCTCAGCCCCATCTTTCTTCTGGTTTCCAAAGTCCCAACTTTGAGCTGGTAAAGCTTCAGAAAGCATTAACAAGCACCATGGTTAAAGGCCTCTTTGTCCCTGCACGCAGAGATTGTTGCATTTCTTTTTCTCTTTGTGTTGTATTGTGGCTTTAAATTAAACCAAAATTAAAAAAAAAAAAGATAAGCAGTTCCAGGTTAGAAACAACTGATCATCCTGCAACCCTGGGCTGGGTGCCTTCTCTCTACTTCTTTTTGTCCAAGAAAGCTCTAGTCCCATCTGCAGAGAGACGAAGGCTTCGTTTCCGCAGCTCAATTCACAGGTCAGGCTGAAGAAGAGCCCTTTGCTTCCCAGAGGCCTCGGGTGGCTGAAGGTCAGGAACAGGATCGGAGGGCAGCGCTCATCGCCTCTGCTGTGCATATACCGGGTATGCTAGTGTGACGTTGAGGGAGTCGTTGTGCTGCACGAGGGAGGTGTGTTGGTAATGAAGCACCAGTTCCTTCAGGGAGCTGTACAGGTTATAGGGCTCCGCGAAGCCATAGCCGGTCGCCGTTTTGTTGATGACGCAATGCTTGACCTCACCATCCACCCTGAGAAAGACATAAAAAACGAGGGCCATTTAGTTTGTTCGGAACTCACAACTCCATAGGATTACTTCTAACCAAGTCACTGTCCTGCAAGACCACACTCTATACACAGCCCCCGGCAACCTAGGGAAAGAGTCCAAGGCGGCTGTGGCTTCCGTCTGGGCTCTGTCACTTACTGACTGGCTGAGGGACTTGACTAGAGACAAGCTCTTGGGCCAGCTTCACCGAGCTGTTGCATTTTCATCTTTAAACTGGTGTAAAAAGAGGACATGAGTAACATGTCTGTAATAGACTTGTAATTTCCTCTGAGAAATGAAATGACATAGTGGATGTCAGGTGCCTGCCAGGACAGGCATGTGACAAATAGCAGCTTCCAAGCACGGTGTCACTGTAAGACTAGAGGCATTGCTGCTCCACTGGTAATCATTAATAGGGTTCTTTCAGCCTCGCTTTGAAATGTCCACGCAACTCTCCACCTGCATTTTCTATGTACTCTACTCCCTTGTCCCTCACACGTCTCACTCCTTCTTTCCCGAAGGCGTATTTCTTAAATACAGGTTGGTCATGGAGTATAACGCGCTTTTAGAGTATTTCTCTACTAGACGACTTTCATTTCTCCAATATGGTAATGCCAGTGATTCAAGACTCACTTTTTAAAGTACTCTCCAGACTGTTATGAAATAAGTCCGTGTCTGTCCTTGTTCTCACCCGCCTCTCAAGCAGACTTTCAGTACAGGTGCTGTTCTCAAGTGACCTGCCTCAGGTTCTACCTCCAATAGCTTCATGGGGGAGAACAAGGGCTAGCAGGAGGCCACAGGCACTGCCGGTTCCATTTTAAAGATAAGAGACTTACTGAGTCTCATGATTAATTTGCCACCAAACTGGAACCCAAACCCCAAACTTCTGCTAAATGATAGGTTTCCTTCTTATTTGCATATACTTCAGGCTAGAGTATAAAGTAATTTTATGTTTATTGCATTTCCTCTTCTACATCACCATACTATATGATTTTTCAAGGCTAGACCTTTATGAAATCCTTAATCAAAATCAATGCATGAAACATTGGCAACGTAGCCTGCTAGAGATACGTACACCACAGAGCAGGCATAGCAGCCTTGCTTACTGCTCTCCCGGACAAGAAAAGTGCCGTCGCGCTTCCCTCGCAGTAGGTTTTCAGCTTTGTTGCGGTTGCTGCTGCCGACATTCCACGTCTTCTCATCATGGTGGGGCAAGTCCTCATCATCTTCCACCAGTGAATATTGGCTGAGTAGGCAGGAGAGGAGGTTTGAGTGAGGAGTGCAGGAACCCCACCTTGCCCCAGAGCCTCCCCTGGGAGAGCCCTCCTGGCACGTCTACCCGGTTCTGTCCACTCTGACCCAACCCTGTCAGACCCAACACTGCGTGGCTGACATGGCCCCTGCTCTCCACGCTGAGTCTCGCTCTCAATCTGTTTATCCTCCAATGCAAAAACAACCCCTAACCCAGGACAAATTATCAGCAATAACTTGTACTACTTCTGTTTTCAGGTCCGCTATCACACTGAGGTACCTGGGTGGGGGGAAACGGCTTAAATAAGCCTGTTTACCCAGTTTAGATCAGGAAATTAATTGTCTAGGAAGAATGCCAGTTTTCAAATAACTCAAGCCAAACATATACTTAACTTTCAGAACATACTAAACATAATTGTTTCCCTCTCTGATTGCTCCAAAAATATTTTGGGACTTTTTTTTTAAGATGTTCAGGTATATCCTTATGGGGACCCATAGGGTTATTTTATACAATTATGGGTAAAAGTAAATCCAAGTTCCCCTTAGCTAAACTTTCCATTTTAAAAATTCTAGATGATGACATTCGGTTTGTACATTTCTCTCCTATGAGATGTTCCAAGCTCAGTGAATTTTCTCACTGGTTATTAAAAATAAAGTCAGTTAAAATGAGAAAAACCAGCCAGGGAGATGGCTCAGTGGCACAGCACCTGCCTGGCAAGTGCAGGGTCCTGAGTTCAATTCCTGGCACCAAAACAAACAAACAAACAAACAAACAAAAAACGAGCAAAGCCTTCTGCGATCCCCCATCCTTTGCAGCCACTTACTCTTCCGTGTTCTCATTGCCCAACCATTCATTCAACTTCTTCTGCCGGACGCCTTTCTGAGTCAACCACCTGTACAGCGGATTGGGAAAGAAAATGCAGTCATAACTCATCCTTCATTTCAGCAGTTACCAGTCACTACTTCCAGGGTTCTGTTTCCAACACTTACATCAAGTACTGGTCTCTCGTCTTTCTGAGCTGGATGAGGTCCGGCTTAATGCTGTTCATCCGTTTGTCAATCTCTCGATACTCAGCTGCCTGCTTTTTCAAGTCTTCCTCCAATCTTCTTCTGCTGTCAATGATTTCACTGATCCGTGACTTTAACTTATCGTAATTATGCATAATCCTACAGGGAAGGGAAATGTATCTGTAATCACCTGGGTACGTCGTGCAGGTTCCCCAAAGTTTACAAAAAGTTTCATTGTCAAATCACAGCAAGATAAGCATCCTTAGGTAAAGAATATGTTCTTGTCATTTTTAAACTATGCAAAGCACAGAAAGGGAGGTCATTAGTTTAAGCGGTTTTAAAAGACTGTGGTTATTTCTAGCACAAGGACAGCAGAAATATTTATGGTTCACTCACCTCTGTATTTCTTTCTCATTGCCTTCACGTTTAAACTTTTCTATGTATTCTTTGCTATACCGCTCCTGGGTCTGGCACTGTTCTTCAAATATTTTTATGGTTTCATTAAATGCTTCAATAGCTGTTCTTTTCATTTGGATCTCCTGTAACAGAAGTTTAATAAGACAATATTACACCTTTCATAGAACAATCTGATTTGTATCACGTAGCCTCTAGGTACATCATCCCAGGGTATTAGAGGAGACCTTCCATGATCCTCCAGTATCAAGATCCATGGCCACACAAGGCCCTATGTAAAGTGATGTGGGATTCATATTGAACATAGGGACTGCCTCCTGCCTACTCTAACTTATCTCTGGATTACTTATGCAGTGTCAACGCTGTGTGAGCAATGTGTGGTGTCCTTTAGGGAGTAAGGACAAGAGAAAAGCCTGTACATGCTCAGCTGCATGAAAGATCTACCAGCACAGAGGGTCGGCTATACTGTTAGTGGGGTAAGAATTCACAAAACCTGTTAAAACAGTATCACAGAAACGCATGGGGAATTTTCTCAATCGATGGAGAATGATTCAGCTTTCTTTTTTTCCAAGAAGCATTTCAGTTTACAGTGCCCACATAGCTTTCTCCCCTCTGGATGTCCCTCCCAGGGAGGCACAAGTCTCTAGAAAAACACCACAGGAAAGGCAGCTTCTCCTTTTCACAGCAGGGCATCTTGAACGTGAAATCTCCATCAGAGACCAGACAAGTCTGTGAAACTTCCATCCTAAACGGAATTCTTCAATTGGGACTTTTGTCAAATCAATTTAAAACAGTGATCCCTTCAGTTATCATGTGTACTTAACTTATTTTTCTGGTAACTACAGGCTTCATTAGGTTTAGGATTTAATGCTAGAATAGTCAACAGTGACGCACAAATAAATGATCGCCTTCCCTCACTTCATCTGCAAATCTCAGCCTTTTTTCGCGAAGCTGAATATAACATGCATTAGGGCCGAAGACCTCAGAGTTCTGAACTTTTAGTTCAATGTCACAGAACACTCACCTGGGAAGTACGGGTATATTCTTCATATAATCTATCATATTCTCGACTTTTTTCTTGAAATTGAGTGTTATATTCATGTAATTTTTTTCCTACAGCTTCAATGTTATCTTCTTTGACAACCTGATCCTAAAATGATTAGAAAAATGTTAAATCAGTTGATATAGTATTAAATAAAATAACAATTGCTCAATAAAAGAGGTAACATGGAAAAAAAAACCCTTTAAATTTACTATTAGATTTAACAATTATAAAACTGCAATTTTATCATAGTGTAAAGTTTTTCAAACCTGATTCATCTACCATAAAATGTTTTTCTAAATTTGAAAGTATCTTCTCTACTCATCACAGTAAGCCGAGGAATTCAGTTTTGATTACCTGTTGGTATTTGGATACTGGATACAGCAACTTCACATCCAGCTTGGGATTGTACTGAGCTAGAGATTCATTCCGGTAGTGGTTTATTAGTTCAACCACAGAATTGAAGGTTAATGGGTCAGAGAAGCCATATTTTCCATCTCGGTGAAATATCTTGATTAATTTGTTATTCCCTCCTTTCCTGTAAATACAATATAAAAATAATGGTACGACAATTTCCTACAAAAGAGCTATGCTTCTATCTTAACCCAAACACCCCAATCTCAGCTGCATCCCCTATCTAACTCACCTCAGTGTAAGCGTATAATCACCATGCATTTTAGTAGACGCATCTCGTACCAAAAAGGTTCCATCTGCTGTATCTCGAAGTTTCTCATTCACTTCTTCCCTGAAATGAATAGAAAACAAAAACCATGCTTACCACTTTGAGAACTCAGTGACCATAAGTATACTTTTTTTTTAAAATAGGCTTTTTAATTTTTTTGTGGTGCTGGGGATTGAAGTCAGGTCCTCGTTCTTACAAGCCAAGTACTCTACCACTGAACTACACCCTCAGCCCTAACAGATTTGATTTTTAATGCAGATTCAAGTTCACAGCAAAACTAGGCAAGTACACCAAGTCCCCATGTACCTACCTCCTGCCCCTCTAGATTTGCAGGTAGGTATTTTATTTTCAGAGCTTACTGATTTTTTTCTTTGTTGCACTGAAATGTTATCAAAGTCTAGTCTCATTAAAAACAGGTGCATGAGAGCTAAAACATAAGGCGCCCCCTTGAGTACTGGCGTGTCTATAGTACAGTTTCCATTTATTTCTGTAATCTATCAGCAGAAAATGTCATGAGCCCCATAAGGTCTCCCCTCACCCCTTCTGACCACCCTCCCTCCAAAAAAAGCTTAAAAAATGCCACTTCATGTTCCTGCATTTAAGACAACGACATTAATTCTTAAAGTTCTGCTTAATACTCTGCCTTCAGGCATTGGGGTATCACCCTGGTGCCCTCTTGATAGCTCTGTCACTAATGAAACTTCCTGGCTATTTAATTTCCTATGGCATCCAGCACCCCCAGTGCCTCAGCACTCAGTGACTCTTCTGGTCGTCTTTGGAAGAGCACCAGCTATGCTTCGTGCTTATGTTGGATGACATCCTAGAAATGGAACTTAGCCGTCCTGTGGCCTCACCTCGAGATATCTCCCCAGTACCATTCGGCATCTTGTAAGGACATATTGTTATTCATACCGTTGTTGGCTACCGTGGTGGGTTTGGGTGGCTTAGGAGGCAGCGCTGCAGATGGAGGAGAAAGAAAAAGTTGCTCACAATCCCAACTCCAACTGAGCATTAAAAACTAGACCCAATATTTTTCAATAAGTAGCATTTCCATTGTAACAGACAAAAAGAAATTAGAATAACTGACACAGATGCCAGTAATTCACAATTCCATGCACCATAGAAGATAGTTTTTTTTGTTGTTGTTTTTAAAGAACTATTTCAGAGAGTAGCTCAAAAAGAAACAAAACTGAAGAGTGACAGAGACAGAACCTTACAGATGAATAAACTGGGCTGGCCATGTGAATTTTCTCCTTCTAGATTCTAGCTATATTAAAGTTGCATGCTTGGCTAAATTCATCTACAGTAAAAAGAGAAAAAAAAAAAAAAACTATGAAATACAAGCACCAGAAGTAACAGGAGTTGGCTTTAATTTTTCTCTCCTTATTTAATTATAAAAGACAAACTCGGTCTCTGTCCCCCTACAAATACTGTTGCAGTAACAGAAAAACTCCCATAGCTCAGTTTGCTTTAAAAAAAGAACTGGGTTTCTCTAATCTCAGTATTTCAGGCACTGTTCTGCCAAAAGCCACTTTAAGAAACTCACCGGTGACCCAAATCTCTTTAGTCTTCATGTTAATATTCTGCTGGGTAAATTGTGCTTTATATGCCAAGTCTGATTAAAAAACCTTAGTCCCCCTTCCTCAACACCACATCAGTATTCATAATGACTTGGTGACAGATAAAAGACTGCAGTGTTTCTCAATTTCTTAATTGGGGGAGGGCTAACAGCAGAAGATAACTTAGGAAACAAATCTAGGATTTTTAGCTAATTTTGAAGTCACAGCTTTAAAGCACTGTTACTATTTTAACTTCTGTAAAAAATGATTTCAGGTGTATATCAAGAATATTTTACAAAGATTAGGGTTGAAAAATGGAAAGTCAACTTCCTTATACATTCCATATCTTAATCTAAGCGAGAGAGCAAGCAAAGTCCCCACATCAGATTCAGAAGAGTTTGGGTCAGAGAGAACTGAATGGCAATCAGTGCTACATTGCATATGCTTGCTAAAGTACCAAGTGTTATCACTGCAAATACCATGCTGTCCTCAGCCACTGTCAGGAGGGAAACGCGGCACAAAAGGAGGCATCATTTTAATTAAAGCAACAACATACAACATAACTCACAGCTAGCAGAGGACCATGCATGATTAACAAAAGACGCCAGTGAAAAAGTGAAATCCAGCTCATACTCATTCAAGGATCGGCATTTACCACACACAACCTGAGCTGCTCCTTCCTTCCCCTGACAGTCTCTAATTTTCAAGTTATAATCAAATTAATTTTTATCCATGGAATAAATTAGTAAAAACAGCAATCTAAAGAGGCTCTGCAATGGCAGCTTTCAAAAAATTAAAAAGCCACAAAATTAACTAGCCCTCTCCATTAATATTGCAGTATTACCTGGTGGATCCATTTCTATATAAAACATCAAGTCTGTGCCACAATTTATATCTGTCTTGGCATAGTCTAAATCCAGGTCTTCCATATTCCAGACAGTGTTGTACATTTGTGCAAGAGTTTCCTTGGCTGAGCTCAGTTATAAGAAAAGAGTCCGGCTTTCTTTGTAATGGTGTCTTGGAATTCATTTTAAAACCTACAAGGGGCTGCACTGTAACCTATTACATCACACACCCCAGCCAATCAAGTCAGAAAAATGTCACCAGACCACTCCTGTTTCATCAGCTCGCTTCTGTGCCAGCCCTCATACAGTCCTGAGCCTCTCGGAAGACTCACGCTTAACAGAGCTGCAAGGTACACAGGCTCATCGTTTCCAAAGGTGTTTAATTTCAGTGTTCTCCTCCAGCAGTGAGTTTTGTAATTCCTTTATTACTCCTTGCAGCATGGTACGCTCCGCGGTTGGCAGGTTGACAAAAGCCGATACGCTGCAGCTCGCAGCTACTCCCTCCCCCGGTGCATCTGGGTTTATAGATAGCCCTGCCATTCCCTGGTATAAAAATCTTATAAAGGCATCAAAATGGTATCATCCTGCTGTATTTTATGGTCCTTAAATAGCTCGTATATGTTGAAAAGCAGAAGGTTTAAGAACTCTGGATGTTTCAGTCCTGCATAATTCACTGAGAGCTCAGAACTTAACACTGTCATAAATGTACCACATTAGAAAGGATAATTTTTAAAAATGTATAGACAAAGTCTCTTCCTCATCTGAATATACCCAAGCTAAAAATGAGCTTTATAGGATGACAATGAAAATCTGCAGAGAATGAAGATGACTATTTGTAGAAACGAACATAACTAGCAACATTAATAAGAATTTCAATGTTGCAGTCCAACAAAACTAGTCAAAAAGTAGAGACTTTTCCCAAAAAGAAAATAGTAGAAGGCAGAACAGAGGTACGGTGATCTCTGCAAAGTATTTCACTGATAGCCGGTCTTGGCTAATACTGCTCGAAAAGGAAGGTGATGTAATCTTTTTTTTTTTTCCCCTTTCTGCTTTTCTCCCTCTACCTCACATGCCTCACTCTGAGGACAAATATTCCCTACTAGCAGTATTTAATATAAAGAAATCAATTTTGCTACAAGTCTAATGACTAATTTTGGTTCTTCAAAGTTATCCTGCATATAATTCCGTCACCTTCACTGGAGGCTAATGTACATTCCCATTGTGAACACCTGCTTTTGACATTCACAATATTATGACGTGTGTGGGGGAGAAACCGCCCCCCCATATAAATGGGGCGCACTTTAAGAATACAGTGGGCACCGTGATCTATGTACACATGCATGTCACACCGTGTGACAACTGAAAGAACACAGAAGTCCCTGAAATTCAGTCTCTTAGACGTCCTGTCAACTTCGGAGTCAGGAAGCAGGTGAGAAGGCAGATGGAGCCGCTGCCTGCATCCCCTCTGACTCCCTCCCGCAGGACTGGAGAAGGCAGGCTCACGCTGCCCGCTTCCGCTTTCTCCCACTCACACTTTTCTATTTGTCTAAGGGTTTAGGTGAAACTAAACTCAAATTCAAATAAAAATGGGAAAAGTGGAGGGGGAGGGGGTTATGTCCTCGGATAAGATCCAGAAAACAAAACTGCAGTTCAGTAACAACGTTTACCCTGACCTCTGGTGTCCGGGGCGGGTGCTCGGAGCAGTGTGGTTGAAGCCCAGCCCTGCAGCAGGCAGCCAGGGGTGCAAGTCGGTTGCTGGCCCGAGTGGCAAGCAGACCTGCAGACGAGGGAGCCCTCCCCTGGGGCGAGTTCCAGTCCAGCGCTTCTCGTTTCCTCCACCCCAGCCCCATTCTCGCTGGCACCGACCCCCAGAGGACACGAGGGAGTGTCTTCCCTAATCTCCCGTCGGTCCTCTCCAGGCAGCACTTACAGGGCGTGCGCGCGTGTGCACACACACTCCAGGCACGCACGCATGCACGCACACACACCTACCCCGAGACCAACCTATAACCAGGAACCGTTCACAGATCAAAAGCCACAGGCAGAAAATGCAACTTACTTTGCAGGTTATGCATTTCAACAGTTTCCCTTTGAAATGTCTGTATCCGACAATGGGGGAAAAAAATCCAAAAGGCTGCTGTTCTCCCAAGTTCCCCTCCTGCCGGTGCCGGTGCCGGTGCCGGTGCCGGTGCTGTTGCCGGCGCAGGGCTCGCACCGCGCGGTGAGCGCGCAGGGGCGGGGGCTCGGGGACCCTGG